ATACATACTTTGTATATGATATATAAGAATCCAATCCAATGTAAATTGTTTAAAACTAGTAGATGCCTTTTAAAAGTAGATTCAATAATCTACCTTTTACCTATATCCTCTTTTTCTTTTCAGAGTATATTCAATAATCTACCTCTTATCTATATCAGATTTATCTTTTTCTTTCTTTTTCTTTCAAACAAGAACCATAAATCTAATTTCCTTTGTTTAACTTTTTTCCTGACCACTAGCAATTAACAACTTGTAACCAACCATCCTAAACAATGACAATTATTCAAAACCCATTGAAAGACCAAATACCCTTCCTCGGGATGGCAGGCAGCTGTGTGCACTGGTCAGGACCCCAGGGTCGGGGGCCTGAGTCCCATGTTCCATGGACCGATGGTCCGATATTGAGATGGTAGAGGAGAAGGGCTTCCTTCCAAAACTTTGGCCTCCTTGGTGAAGTGCATTAAGGTGGATGCTGCCCCACATCACCTGAAGCAGGGATCACTAGGGACCAGGACATCCACAACCTCCCCTCAACAGGCAGGCTGTCCAGGTCCCTGAGCTAGAGACAAGCACACATCAAAAGAAAAAATATTGCACCCACCTGCTCTCTAGTCTACCAACACCTGGGCGCAGACCCCACCTTACCCGTCTCCTAGGCAACACCTGGCAACCAATCTGACCTTCGTCCAGCTCTGTCACAATCCCTCTCCTCTGTAAAGTCCTCCATCTCCCACCCCTCATCTCCTCCCACCCGACCCTACCCTATACCAATTATCAGACACCACGGGAAACGTCTCTTTCCATTCTCTAACATCCCCAAGACCCTGTAAGGCATGGAACTCTCTGTATCCTCTGTGGACACCCACCTACCTGTGGCAGGGCTAGGCACACACAGGACTCACTCAGCTCTTCAAGAGATTCAAGTGGACCTAGGACAGGCAACATAGAAGCTGAGGGACTCTTAACACAAACACCAGGATTCCTGCAGCACACAACCACCCCTATTCCAGGCATCCTCACACAAAATTCTCTCCAGGGGCCCAGATCCATGGAAGAGAAACAAGTGTCCACAGACAGAATGGGTCTGCCCACCAGCCTGCATAGAAAAACACTAACAAAC